GGATAAATGAAAGTTTCTCAGATTCCATATCTTACTGTATACTGGCTTTGTCTTCAGTATATTTCTGGAAGCTTTATCTGAATTGCTAAATTGTCCTTTCAGTTGAAATCTAACTTCTACAATCATTCATATTTAAAGCTTAAACATGTATCTCTTAATGAAATTTTTTCTTTAAATCAGTGTAAAACAAGTTGCTTGAATTTGAATTTTTTTTTTTTGACCTGTTACCTGTTTATATCTGTGACATTTGTCTCACAAAACCAGTTGTTCTAGAATCAACTCTGAGAATATAGTATAATTCAGTGGAAACATAATCTGTCTCAGGACCTGACATAAAATCTGTCCCAGGAGAACTGGTAACATGAGATTTTTAGGTTACAGCAGAAATACGGTATGTTGACACAAGCCTTAATCTTTCCACTGGGAAAACTAATGATTCGTGTTAAGATTGAAGGTTAACTCTGTATTAATCTCATTTGAATCTATACAGTAATTCAAATTCTGGAAAATAACAAAGTAAATTTAAATGGCTTAATACTGACCTTCTAAATGTAGAATTATTTCAAAATTAGTGTTAAAATACCTTATTCACAGATTAATTTATCTGTGGGCAGGATCTGAGGATGTTTGTAAATGATAATATGATCCATCTGCATAGATCTGTGATCTAAGTAGCTTTGGAATTGTAAACACTATAGAGCCACCTTCAATCCAGCATCTCAAGTTTTATTTAAAACCTAAATCTGACATTTGATACTATTTTTATTAACATTGGAATGTTTTATCTTGAACTTTATTCATTGTAATCAAAGAATAAAAATCTAGTGAAACCTCACCAATTTGTACTGTTGAGAAAGAGTATGCCACCCAGTTAAAAATGAGTTTAAATTTGGGAGAAATTTGGAATATAGGTATATTAGGTTTAGGTTAACATTAGGAACAAAAAGAAGGCAGGGGACCTGCCTAAACAGATAGCAGTAATTGCAGCAATAGCTGTGAGTGGTTCATTTGGGGAATCTTTGGTGGTATTTGTTAGCTGCTAAAATAAGCAGCAAGTCCAGATGGTTCTCCCTGGTAAGCCAGACTGCCACTGGCAAATTATCATGTGTTGCATTCAAGGTTTTGTGAGCTGTTTTCACAAGAAGCTCAAAGATAAATTTAAACCTAGTCTTTTGCAAAATGATACTGAATAGAAGGAACAAGATTTTCTATTAGGTAATAAATACTGAGTTAAGTTTTTTAAAAATACTCTGAACTGTATACAAAATTGTGAATTTGAGGTTTAATAACATGTTAGCTATTTGCAATGGATGAAGCTTAATTCTTCCACAAATGTTTGGAGCTCTATGCTCTACTAGAGAAGTGTCAAGGTGTGTTCCATTAGTGATCTCTAAGTACAGTTGGTCCCAAAGCCCCTCTCAAAGGGCCCTTCATGTTCTTCTCTACAGAACACATCACAACCTCAGTTTATCTTTTTTTTAGAGACAATCTCACTTTGTCGCCCTCGATAGAGTGCTGTAGCATCACAGCTCACAGCAACCTCCAGTTCTTGGGCTTAGGCAATTCTCTTGCCTCAGCCTCCAGAGTAGCTGGGACTACAGGTGCCCACCACAAGGCCAGGCTACTTTTTTGTTGTTGTTGCAGTTTGGCTGGGGCCAGGTTTGAACCCACCACCCTCAGTATATGGGGCTGGCGCCCTACTCATTGAGCCACAGGTGCTGTCCCAAGCCTCAGTTTATCTTAAGGATGTTCAGTTAGGCTGGGCACAGTGGCTCACACCTGTAATCCTAGCACTCTGGGAGATCGAGGTAGGTGGATTCCTTGAGCTCAGCCTGAACAAAAGCGAGACTATTAAAAACAGAAAAACTAAAGCAAGAGGATCTCTTGAGCCCAAGAGTTGGAGGTGGCTTTGAGCTATGACACCATGGCACTCTACCCAGGGGGACAGCTTTAGACTCTGTCTCAAAAAAAAAAAAAATAAAAATTTGCTTAATTGCAACATTAACTATGTTCACATGCTTTCTGAAAACTTGATACTTTAATTTCAGATACATGACCTGAAGGCATTTTACAGTTCCTAAAGTTAAAATGGTAGTTGTTCAGGTTTGGTGGGGTTTTGGAGACAAGTCACCTGGGCTAGAGATTGAGATTACAATGGCATTGATTTTTATTTTATTTTATTTTTTGAGACAAAGCCTCAAGCTGTGCTTATGGCATCATAGCTCACAGCAACCTCCTACTCTGGGGCTTAAGTGATTCTCTTGCCTCAGCCTCCCAAGTAGCTGGGACTACAGGGGCATGCCACAACGCCCGGCTATTTTTTGGTTGTAGTTGTTTGCCAAGCCCATCCTGGATTTGAACCTGCCAGCTCTGGTGTATGTGGCTGGTGCCTTAGCTGCTTGAGCTACAGATGCCAAGCCAATGTCATTATTATAGCTCACTGCAACCTCAGACTCGTGGGTGCAAATGAGTGTCCTGCCTCTGCTTCCCTAGTAACTGGGAGACACCATCACGGCCTGCTAATGTTTTTAATTTTTTGTAGAGATAGGGTCTCACTCTTGTTTAAGCAGGTCTTGGAACTCCTGAGTTCAAGCAATCCTGGTTTGCCTTCTCAGTGCTAGGATTAAAGGATTATACCACCACACCCAGCCAACATGTTAGGGCTTAATTCTTGGATTTTCTTCATGCAGGGCTTTGGCTGGAGAAGTACAACTGTCCAAATTCGTGATCCTGGAGTTCTCTGGGAATCAATAATTCTTTAGAGACTTGCTGCTCAAAGTCCCTTACCTCTTCCACAGCCTCACTTTGTCCTCCTGGGTAGAGTGTCATGGGATCATAGCTCACAGCAGCCTCAAACACCTGGGCTCAAGCAGTCCTTTTGCCTCAGCCTCCCAATTAGCCGAGACTACAGGTGCCCACTGCAATACCTGGCTAGTTTTTAGAGATGGGATCTCACGCTTACTCAGGCTAGTCTCGAACTTGAGCTCAAGCAGTCCACCCACCTCAGCCTCCACCTCCCAGAGTGCTGAGATTACAGGCATCTCTCCTATCCCCTCCTTTTTCTTGAGTCTTTCCATCCATCTTATTTAAAAAGAAGTGAATTCTGTGTGGGTGATTTGTAACACCTGTGAATCTGTGTGTGGAAGCTATGCCTGCAGTGTATAGGATGTCTTTAAGCAGTAGCTGCTGCTACAGCTGGAGAGGGGTGTGCTGCTACGAAATTGGTTCTTCTACTAGAGACCAAGTCTTGTTGATTGTCCTGACTTAGAGGTTTTGATCATTTTCATGAAGTAATGTAGGGGGTTCATCTCAGCTAATGGACTATATATCACATTGTTGGAGGACTAGAAAAAGCCAATGTAAATGATTTTCTATTTTTTTAAGGCAAGCATAGAATAAAGTTTATGGAGGAAAAGAAAGGTGGGTTTATGGAGTAAGAGGTACAGGGTAACAGGGCAAGATACAATTGCCAAAGACGGTGAATGGGCCTCCATGGCCAGGGCAAGTAGTCAAAGAGGTCAGTGACTTTGTATTTAAAATATTGGGGTGTGCCTGTGGCTCAAAGGACTAAGGTGCTGGCCCCATATGCCCCATATGCCAGAGGTGCTGGGTTCAAACCCAGCCCTCTCAAAAACCACACACAAAAAAATATATATTGATGGTAGTTTTATCTGTGCACACTCACACAAATTTCAGTACCTGTTCTGTAGCTCATGACAGTGAACACAGAAATACATACTGAACGTTTTTCAGTTACTAGATGTTAGCTGTTGCAAATTCTGGATTCCAGAGGTTTTTTGGTTTGGTTTGGACATAAATTTAAGTGGGCCATTAGTTGCTTGGGGAAGATCATAAAAAATTGAGAGTGATTTTAAAAATTCTGAACCAAAATAACTTGTTTGGGTACAATACTATTTGTTTCATAAACCATTTTTAGGTAGCAAATGTGTGATCTTCCTCATTAATATTTAGACTGCTGATTACTTGATAAATGTCATTTTATTTATTTATTTTTATTATTTTTTGGCCAGGGCTGGGTTTGAACCTGCCACATCTGGCATATGGGGCCAGTGCCCTACTCCTTTGAGCCACAGGCACCACCCACCATTTTATTTTTAATTGCTATGGATTCAGCTAAATGACTTAGCTTTTGGAGTAATTATTTTACTACTTTTACTTTGTCTTGCTGCTTTGGTTTGAATTTGGTTCCTACCTGACAAGATGCATTTAGCCTGTATTGTTCCCCAACCCTGGCTTGGGTCCTGTGGGAGTGGGGCGGGGCCCTGGGAGGGAGTCCAGGGAGGTGCAGGGGACCAGAGCATAAGAATCACGGTTGGACAGCGATGACCTCGCCACCAGCAATACTTGGCGTGAGAGGAAACGAAACTACAAATCGTTCTTTACTTTGTGAAACGAAATAATTCTTAATAAAGTCCATAATTAGCACTAGAAAAAGCGTCACGTATCTTTTTGTTGAGCCAGTGTTGGGTTTCATTCTGGCTAGGCAGCTTTGATTCAATCACTGAGCAAGAGAGTCGCTTCCCTCCAACTTTAGGGTGTGGAATAAACATTTATGGGTTCACCTATCGACCTTCATTTTTTTTGAGACAGAGCCTCAAGCTGTCCCCCTGGGTAGAGTGCCGTGACATCACAGCTTCACAGCAACCTCCAACTCCGGGGCTCAAGCGAGTCTCCTGCCTCAGCCTCCCAAGTAGCTGGGACCACAGGCACCAGCCACAACGCCCGGCTATTTTTTGGTTGCAGTGTAGAGTGTCATGGGATCATAGCTCACAGCAGCCTCAAACACCTGGGCTTAAGCAGTCCTTTTGCCTCAGCCTCCCAAGTAGCTGGGACCACAGGCACCAGCCACAACGCCCGGCTATTTTTTGGTTGCAGCCATCATTGTTTGGTGGGCCTGGGCTGGATTCGAACACACCACCTTAGGTGTATGTGGCTGGCGCCTTAGTCGCTTGAGCCACAGGCGCTGAGCCTCGCCCATCGACCTTACAGTAACACATTTCCCACGCCCCGCACCCCACCACGAGTCAGCTCAGAAGAACGCAGTCGGCCCAGAGGACCTCGGAGCCGGGCGCCCTCTGAAGCGGCGTGGGGGCAGCGCCTAGCAATGCGCCAGACCGCCGGCCGAGGCCCCTGGGGGACGTAGCGCCCTCCGCGCCCGTGGCCCGGGTGGGTGAGTGCGCCGCGGACTACATCTCCCTGGATGCCTCGCCCCGCCGCTCTGCGCAGGGCCGGGCGGAGGAGGGGAGCGGGCCGGAAGCGGGAGGCGGCCGCGCCTGCGGGGAAACGGCGCGTAACGGGCGCCCTCTGGGGCTGAAGGGCGCCAGGCGGAGACGGGCCGGGCGCCCAGAGGCGAGGGGGTGATGCGCGGGGACTCGGGACCAAGGAGGCGACTCCGGGGGGCGGGCTCGGGATTTGAAAAACGCCTGCAGTGGGTTTGGCTGAGTTGACGCGATGGCGCGAGGTTACTCTATGGCCCTTTAGCCTTTGCTCCCAGTCCTAGAAAATTCCCGCGGTCTGGAATTCCGGGGCAGGATCGGTAGGAAATGGCAACGTCCCTTGATGTGTTGTCAGCCAAAACGCGTTTGGACCTGTAGGTCGTGAAAGTTGCCACTGCGGAGAACGAGAAACGAGAGCATTCCGAGGGCTCTGTGGTAACCCCAGATAAACTTTGCATCCAGTACCAGGACAGGCCAACAGTGGGGAAATAGAGACGGCCCCCTCGGACTCCTTTCTTCCAAGGCATGCCGAAGGTGGGTTTGGGTGTAGTGAAGTGGCGGGAGTAGGGGAAGCTCCTCCCAGTGGGGTGAGTCATATTTACAGCCATGCAAAAGGAAAAATTTCTACCATCAGTAAAAATTGTGTGAAGAAGGGTTAACAACAGCTTCCTGCCCACTCCTTGTGTTTGAAAGCTGCCTAGGAAGTATCATAGGTTTTGTCTGGGAAGGGATTTCAGCCACTAAGCCAGGGACCCATCTCCTTTTTGAAATGGACCTGCATCCACTTTCAGAGGGATGCATGGCCAGTGCACTTTATCCAAGCAATCTCAAAGCCTCAGAAAGCCCCACTACTTTATCCACAGCTCTGCTGCTGCTAGGTAGAATGCAGTGGTGTCAGCCTGGTTCACTGCAACCTCAAACTCCTGGGCTCACATGACCCTCCTGCCTCGGGCTCCCATTTAGCTGGCACTATAGGCACAGGCCACTGTGCATGGCTTATTTTTCTATTTTTAGTAGAGACAAGTCTTCCTTTTGGTCAGGCTGGTCTCCATCCCCTGAGCTCCAAGTGATCCTCCTGCTTTAGCCTCCCAAAATGTTCAGATTATAGGCATGACCCACCAAGCCTGCCCAGCATTTATGCTTCTTATCTGAGTTGCACCCCTATAGGGAATTTTTAATTTATGGAAGTAGGTTTTGACCTTTTGAATGGGTTAAGTGTGGGAAAGCTTGATGACCATTGGACTCAGGCACTGTTAAATCTACATCATTTTTAAGCAACCACTTTGATTTTCTTTATTAAGGAAGATGAGCCTGGCGTGGGCAGAATTCAAATAAGCTGGACAGTTCTGTGAAGGAGCTGCGAACCCTGAGATGGTAGGCAGGCTGCAGAGTAAGATGTGTGGATGTGTGGATGCTGCCCCGCACCCCACCAACCCCACCCGGAGATCTTGACTGCATGGAGTGCTTTGGGGGTTGAGTGGCAAGGACCCGGATGTAGTCCCTGTAGAAGATTGATAGGAAGTAGCATTAATATCAAGCTTATGCAGTGAGTAAGTTTCTTCTGAGCCTTTCAGTGTCCAGCTGGAAGCATTTTTAGGTGTCTGTCACCACTATGAAGGATCAGGAGCATGGAATAGAAGAAAACATTTCCAGTCACATGACATCTTGGCCAGCAGGGTTTGTGTATGGGTTTGGGTATCAGGGAAAAGGAGAAATTTCTGCCCAACCATTTGTACCCACTGCTGGTGAGTGGAGGCTGTGTCTACTCCCTAAATAAGTCTGTTCTCAGGAACTCTAAGGAACTATAAAGGACTTCTGTCTCTAAATGCCTTTGTGCTCCTGCCTCTGGTGACTTGGCAAAAGGCAAAACGATTCATTTTGCATTTCTGGTTCTAACACATGTTCATTTGATTTTGTTGATGTGATTTGTTTTTCTCATTTTAGGCACCAAAAGCCAAGAAGGGATTGAAAGGTAAGTGGAAAAAGGGAACATCACCCTTGAGCAAATATATATATTTTTGCCTTGGGTCCAGAAATAACTTAGGCATGTCTATGTAAATGTTTCTTGGTGAAATCTTGTTTTTCCTGTAATTCCCTAGGCAGGTTTGGTCTTCCTAGGGCACTGCTTATGCTGCCTCATTTGCCCTCAGAGAAATTCAGAAATAAATATGAGATGGGGTTTAGGAAAAAATCTTTCTCACTGGGCTCTGTATCCAGAAGTAAATGGTTGAAGTTAAGGGTATAGAAGGCATTGAACCTGAATGGGAAAACTAATTCAGTATTCACACTTAGGTTTCCCCCAGATGCCTTAATCAAGAAGTGGCCAGACAGGGGTGCATCCAGACCAGTTCGGGCAGCATCTCAGATGGAAGGGTCTGAAAGAAGTTTTCAGATGCCTCAAAATCTTGGTCACTTTTCCCAAAGAGCTGTGCTGAGCTTTGTTCAAAGTCTGGAAGACAATAGTATCAATCGTGTCATGGGAAGGCAGGTAGAATATAGGTTCTACTGAAAATCTGTACCTTGTTCCTTTCAGAAAGTTATTTAAGTTCTGTCCCAGGGTATTTCAACAAGATATTTTGACTTGTTGCCATAGGCTTAGGAAATATCTCATGGCCAACAAAGGGAGAGCTGAGCTTAAGGCCCAGCGTCCACAGGCACAACTTGAGTTGTGTGTGCTATGGCCACTCTCCTTTCCTCCTGAAGTCACGGTGGCCTCTTTTCTGTTCCAGACTCCATTGATGATGTTCTTGGTGACCTCCTGGAGGATGATAGTAAGTGCATCTTCCCAAGAATGCCCTGGTTTAGGCTTGCCTTTTTTTGTTTGTTTGTTTGTTTGTTTGTTTTAAATTGAGATATAATTCACAGACCATGAAATTCACTCCTTTAAAGTGGTACAATTCAGTGGCTAAATTGTATTCACAAAGTTGTACCACTCACCACTACCTAATTTTCATCACCCTTGTAGAAATCCCATACCTATTAGAAGTCAGTCCTCCTCTCCATCCCCCAACCCTGGGCAACCACTTGTTTACTCTGTCTCTATGGACTTGCTTATTTTCAGGACACCTATAGAAAATGGACTCAAACGAGAACTGGCCTTTGCACCTGGCTTCTCTCATGTGCATAACTTCTTCAGTTCATCTACACTGTCCCATGTATCAGTGGTTCATTCCTTTTCCTGGCTAGATAATATTCCATTGAAACGATATACCA